GTATGGTACCAATAATACTGTTAGGCTCCAGATTCAGAATGTCTTTAGTCATCTCTGATTCTTTTCTACAATTTTCACATCTATTAACTGATTTTTGTTCATTTTTCGTCCTAAATGTCTCTGGGATTTGTCTCTTCCATTTCCATTACTAATCACCTAGTTCCAGCCCTCCTTATCTCTAACTGGACTATTGTAATACCCTCATAATGGGTCTTTTTGCCTCTAGACAATGTTTCCTATACAACTGATGTTGGCTATCTTTCTAAAGTCATTTTTGATAATGCCTCTATGCTGCTTAAACTCTGCAATAGCTCTCCATTGGCTATAGAATAAAATTCCTACTAAAGGACATTCAAAGCCCTACATGATCTAAATTCAAGCTACCTTTCCACAGAAATCAGAGAATGTTAGAGTCATCCAGGACTTTAACAGCCATCTAATCCAACCTATGTAAAGAGTCCCTAATATAACACGCCCGAGAAGTACTTATCCAATCTGTACCTATAGAAGGCCAATGAAAGTAATATACTATCTCCTACTTCTGGAGAACTCTAATTGTTAGGAAGTTTTCTCTTTATAATGAGCCTATTTTTTCCTCCTCATAATTTCTACTCTTCATTCTTGATTTTACCCTTTAGAAACAAACAGAACTCATCCAAGGCTGGCTGCTTATAGACTACTAAAAACCCCAGATTTTTCCCCCAGAGGAAAAATTACAACCTGACCTTGTTTCCTCCATCTTGAACTTGTGAAGTTGATTTTTTGAACCCAGGTGTAAGACCTTACATTTATCCCCATATAATGTCATCCCCTTCAATTGAGCATATTGCTCTAGGGCGAGGCTATAAAGATCTTTGTGGATACTGACTGATGTACCATTTTACCCTTGCCTTTTAGCTTTGTGTCATTTACAAATTTGATGAGCATACCATCTACATCTTTATCTAAGTCATTAATAAAAGTGTGAAGCCACACAGGGCCAAGCACAAATCCCTAGAGCACTCTACTGGAGAACTCCTCCCAGTTGACATTGAACCATTAAAGACTTTTAGAGTCTAGTTATTTGACAGTTTCAAATATATTTAATTGTATCATCATTTAATTTGTATGTCTCCATCTTTTCTAAAAGTAGATAAACTATATCTACAATATTTCCCTGTCAAAAAAAAAAAAGAAAAAAGAAAAGGGAAAAAAGAAAGAAAGAAGGTTAGTTTGGCATGACCTGTTAATTACGAAGTCATGCTGGATCTTTGTAATCACAACTTCCTTTTACTCACTATTTACTAACTCTTTAATGATCAGTTTTAGAATTTTCCAAAGATCTGTGTTTTGCTTTATATTATAACTAATATGGAAATATGTTATGCATGGTTGCACATGTATAATCTATATCAAATTGCTTACCATCTCAAATAGGGAGGATGGTAGAGTGGGAGGGAGAGAAATTGGAACTCAGAATTTTAAAAAGTGAATTTTACAAATTGTTTTAATATGTAATTGGAAAACATTAAATATTATTTGGGAAAAAAAGAATCTTCCCCAGAATCAAACTCAAATTAGTCATCCTAAGGTTTATAGACCCTTTTCCCAAAATTGGGACATTTGTCTGTCTCCAGTCAATTCTCCAGCCATTCTCCACAACTTTGTAGGTATTATTGGCAATGACTGAGCAATCACCTCAGCCAGTTCTTTGGGTCCCCAAGGACATAATTCATTTGGTGAGCTTACTCGAATTCATCAAGAGAAGCCAGGTGTGCTCATTCTATTTCCTTGAGTATCAACTGCATTGGCTATTTTTGTTCTTTCAGATCCATTGCCAAGAACATTCTCCAGTTATTTTTTCCACAAATCTTCCTCTCTTCCTAACTATTGCTGTTGAGGGCATCACCATCCTCCACGTCAACTTAGCTTACAACCTAGGTGTCATTCTTGATTCCTCATTCTCTCACCCTACACCCCTATCCAATCAGTCATTTAGTCCTGTTGTTTTTACCTTTGTAACATCTCTGGTATGAGTTCCCTTTCTCCTCTGAGAGAAGAGAACCACCGCCCTGGTGCAGACCTTTATCACTTCACCCCTGGACCATCACAATAGCCTGCTGATTGGTCTCCTTGCCTTAAACCTTTTCCCACTCCAATTCATCCTCTGTTCAGCTATCAAATTGACATTAGTAAGGTAAAGTTCTCATCATGTTACTCTCTCTCCCCTCACATTCAATAAACTCCAGTTGCTCCCTAATCAAATATAAAGCCTGTTTGGGTGTTAAATACCTTTACAACTGGGCCTTTCCTGCTTTTCCAGTCTTCTTATACCTTACTTTCCTTAATGTACTCTGAGAACCAATGACACTGGCCTCCTTGCTGTTCCTCAGATTAGATATCAATTAAACATGATGTTACAAATTGGTCTTGTCATTTATGATAAACTTGGGATTCTTCATAATTTTTGGTTTTATATCTATCCATAGAAGCAGTATGAGGTGATAGAGAGTCATAAAGGCCTGGGTTCAAAACCTGAAAGCTATTAGCTATTGAGACCCCAGGCAAGTTGCTTAACCTGTGTGTATCTCAAGTGATTCCTTAGGACTTACTTATAAAGGCATGGCTTATTTGTGATTTACATTGGTGGAAAGAGTTCCCACTCTAGGAGTTCCCCCACACTGATGAAATCACTTGTGCATCTGCATAATCTACCCACCAAAGCATTTCTATTTTTGTCATGTGCTTGAATATAGCTTTTGGATATAGCTTTTCTACTTACTGCTTCTCTTCTAAAACTTCTTTTTCCTTTCTGTCACCTCTCACATCATTATTGAATCTGTTCTGTTGTTTTATTGGAATTTCTATTTTTTTAAAAACTCACTTTACCTATTTCATTTTCTTTGTATAATTGGTTGACACAATGTCCATTTGGGACTTCTTACTTAACACTTTGGTTTCTATTGAGTCCTTTCTTTATGCTTCTTATACCAGCCCTCCAATTTTTGTCTCTCCAAACCTCCCCTCTTTGTCCCAGACCTCAGAGCATTGCTATAGAAAGTTAGTGGAATAAAGTTCACCGGAACCATGATAAATTCATCCTTTGTAACCTCAACGGTATTCTTGATACTACAGGGCAATCCTCTTATTTATTTCTTGTTGATTTCCTAATACTTCTCACAATCAAATCAACAAGCTTTTTTTGAATTTGAGATGTACCAGGAACCATGCTAAGTGCTGGCAATACAAATATAAGCAAAAAAAGAAACACAGTCCTTTCCCTCAAGGAACTTAAATAAGACAACATAGAAAAAAGGAGAAAGGTACACAAAGAGGGCTATAACAGTAAAGCTGGGAGAGTCAGAAGCAGAGGTGAGAAAATGATAAAGGATGGTTGGCCTGAGGCCTGCCTCAAAAACCAGGGTGAGAAGGCAGCTGAGGCATGGTGGTAAGGTCTGGAGAACCAGAAGCAAAGTCAGGAGAGGAATCAACAGTGGCTATTCCAAATCATTTCCATTCTTCTGAAGCCTCCAATTATATTTATTCTCCCTTTACTATTGGCACATAATCTCATGTGATCCTTTATTGAAATTGATTTAAATTTGTGCATGTTCCTTCAACTACCTGCTACACAAATATATCTATTATCTATAACCATTCTCCTTATCGTCCTTTCTAGTTTAAGATGCTAACCCTTTCAGGATATTGTTCTTTTAATCATCTGGTCTCTCTTTAACACCTTTAGTCTTCATTCCTCACCCTGATACCCTGCTGGATTTTGTAATCTCCAGAAACCCATTGTCTAGCAAGATGAAATCAACTCCGTAAGTCACATCTCTTCAGATCATTTCCCACCGTGGCTGCAGAACTTTTATCATGCCTCCTCACCAGGTACCCTCCTCCCCTTCCCAATTTTCTGCTTCTTTTTATGTATTGTCTTCCCCCATTTTCTGTGGGCTTTTTGAGGGCTTTCTTTGTGTATCCAGCATTTAGCATAGTGCCTGGTACATACGTAGTAGGCACTTGACAAATGTTTATTGACTCTGACTTTGGCTGTCCCATTCCAACATTTCTACCTTTAAACATATCCAAAGCTCTCCTATCCTGAAGAAAAAAAAATGCTAACCCATATAGCGCCCTCTAGCTACTACCTTATTTTCATTGCGAAAGTTTTCATTTAATTTCCTTTCTGCACTCATTTCACAAACCAGCCTTCACCCGTGAGGTTTTGATTTCTGTCAAGAACAGTGTGATTCTCCCAGTAACTCAATCTCAAAAATTTATCTTTGCCCCCCCCCAACATTTAATCAATCACCAAATCCTAACCTTCCTTATTAAGGTCTTTCCCATTCTTCCCTTCCTTTCTAGTCCTACTGCCACCAGCCTGATTCAGATTCTCATCCTCTCCCATGGCAATTGTTGCCAAAGCCTTCAATCTTATCTCCCTTTCTCTAGTTTCTCCCTTAATCCAATCCATCATGACTACTACTTCCAGATTAATTTTCAAAAACACTGCTTTCCATGTTATTCACTGGCTCACACACCTTTAAAAGTTCACTATTGTGCATTGAATAAAATCCAAGCTCTCCAGTATTACAGAGGTTGTGTTATCATTCTTAGACTACCTAAAATTTGTGATAAGAATTTGAGGAAGTACAGGGACTCCTATGTAGCATAGGTGAATTTAATCTGTATCTAGCAAAGTCCTGTATACTAAGAACAATAAAATAGCACCATAAATTAAGCACCATATTGCTTAATAACCCTTTAAACCCATAGAAACATGAATTATTATCACCATCATCGTTTAAATCTACTTCTCCATAGTTTTTTTTATGTTGTCTGTTATACTTTGTGTCCTGAGCATATTTAGATGAAAAAAGCAATCCTTTCCCCCACTGAGGTTGAAGCAACCTTTTTTTTTTTCTTTAAATGGGTTATAATGAGCTGGGCCTTTAAGAGAGCTGAGAGGCCATTTTTGGTTCCTTGCTGCTTGAAGTATAAAAGGCCAGACTAGGGTAGTTAGTGTTGGAGCTTCCCTGCTCTCTGGAGAAATCTTTCCTAACTGTGCTCATTTTCCAGAATAAAGTGAGTATTGTTTTAAACTTTATATCTTTTTAATTGACTTTTAATCTTTGATTTAGGAAAGTGGTATTTAATTGCAGTGTTTTAATCTTCTGTTAGGACTCAGTATTAAGCCTTTGAACTTGAATTAGATTTGTCCTACAATATTTGGTGCTTGCAAGCAGAGGGTTTGTTTGCTTGCTTTGCAATGGCCTGATGGGTAAAATGATTTTAAGTGGGGGAAGGGTGTTGTGGAAGAAAGGGAGTGGGTAAATGGAAGGTTAGAAACAAAATTTTATTTCTCAGGGTCAAAAGTATGGCTTAAGATGTATGTGGAGTCCTCTCTTTAGAATAAATAGAAAGTACCCATTGACCCTGTGGGATTTGGTGCAAATTTCTTCTTAGATTCTTCAAAACTGAGCTGGGAAGGTTGTATTAATAACATAGGGAGATAAAGTAAATTATCCTAGCATATTAGATAACTAGAGGAAGAGGCAAATGAGCTTTTAATCTTTAAAAAAAAGCATGTCTAGAAAACAGATTGCTTGATTATCCAGGTGAAGAGTTCATTGTTAATGGAGGCAAGGACTAATAGGCTACAGGTGGAAAGCACGATTTTTGATCTTGAGGCTTCTCTAGAGAATGCCTTGTGATCTCAAAAAATTAAGGCTGTAAAAGAGGATAATAAAAATTAATGCTAATTATGAGCAGGAATTAGAGAAGATGACAAAAAAAAATTGAAACCTCAGGCTTTTCCTATTACTACTTCTGGGTGAATAATTTCCAGTATGGTGGAATCAGAGTACAGCTGAATTTTGAACATTCAGGAGCTTGTATAATTTCAAAAGAAATTTAGACAGTAAGGCCATGTATACCTAGATGATCTAGTGGAAATGATTACCGGTATTTATTAATTGAACAATCATGTCAGCTGGAAGAGCTTACAGAGGAATTGCTTTTGTAAAATCAGTTGAATCAATGGGGGTTAGCCTCTGTTCCTTTTTTAAGTGGATGAAAGGGGGAGTTCTACATACTTCAGCTATATAAAACTGAAGTAGTTATAACCATTTCCTCAATGGAGGACAGTAAAGGAGGAGGTGAAATTTTTTAAAGTGATGGGTCTGGTAGATTGGATTTATTAATATTGTGGATAGGTAAGTTAAAGCTCTTCTGTATTTCTTATGACTAGTCTGTCATATACAATTAGTTCCTGCCTTTTAGATGGACCCTTAGCTATGGGCCATTATTGGCCAACTATATAGGCCTGTGCGGATCAATTAGTGAAGTCTGAATGGGAAAGGCTGGCATCCCCAGCAGCTGTTCTTAAAAATTGGACCATCCACCCAAATGGGTACTTTGGAGATGGTGGGAGGAGGAGAGACCCTGCTGTCATTAGGTGAGCAGAGAGTCATTATGTTTTCTCCCAGAACGAACTTGTTTTTGGGTATAGCTTTTAAAACACTGCATAGATAAAATGATTGATGATCAGCCTATGGACCAAATCATACCAGGATATCCAGCACCAAGGTGATTTTTCTTTTGCTCCACCAAAATTTAGGAAATTCCTGAAAGCCTCTATCCAGTGCATGTACAAAGCAGAGTTGCAGTAGCTCAAAAGAAACTTAAGCCACACAAATTTCGAAACACCTTCATTCCAAATGTTCATGTAGACTATTTGTGCCCAACCTGTTGGTAGAGTTTTCTGATTCTGTGTTTGTCTGATCAGCCACAGTACCTTAACCCCAACATAGTGTTGTCATTTTGGTCCCCTTCCAGAATGAAGGACAGCAACCATACCCAATCTGATTGGTCCTCTCCCTCCTCCCCCCATCTGGTTGTTCAGAGACACCCAGGTCTTTGTGTGTTGATTTGAAATACTGTTGGAATGAGCAATGCCCTACTAGGGCAAAGACCAAGGTTCCTCCAAGGCTCTGGCTGTTTTAATTGGAGAACCTCAAGGTGACTAGAGATCATATGTCTGAATTACTCTGGTTCAGAAGGTAGAGAGAGAATGACTGTTATGTACTTGGAACCAGGTTTGTATTCTACCAGAAGACCCTCAACAGCTTCATGAGTGTACACTAGTTTTCACTGGAAGCCTTGGGGAGGGGTAATCACTGGGGAAATAAGTATCCTTAATCAAGTGGAAGTGAATAGAAGATGCCCATTTGGGTCTCAATAGTGACTGACCAGGAGGAGTGTATTATGGGTACAGATATTATGAATTCTTAGGAATCAGAACTTAATGGTTGGTGTTTATGGTAGCTTCTATGATTAATATTGTGGCTAGTTAAATTAAAGCTCCTGGAATTTCCTAAGCCATCTTATGTAGTTCATATTAAACGATATCAATTCCTGAGTTAGCAAGCAAAAGCTATTTCTTAGGGGCAGCTAGGTGGCTCAGTGGATAGAGCACCAGCCTTGGATTCAGGCAGACCTGAGTTCAAATCTGGCCTCAGATACATAACACTTACTAGCTGTGTGACCCTGGGCAAGTCACTTGACCCCATTGCCTAGACAAAAGAAAAAAAGACAAAAAAAAAAGCTATTTCTTCCTTGGTATTTTGTTATATTATGTCAAGATACTATTAGGAGACACCTGGAGCAGGCCCTGAGCTTGGCATAACAACAGTCCTTTGTGCTCACCCTCTGGATGATCTCAGCCATGGCAAAATCCCAAAATTGTTTCACCTAATTATTATATTGCTTTGACCAGCACCAGGTGTTCCTTGAGCTCAGACAAGTACCTGCAGTTTGGTCATGAAGCCCTGCTATGAATCAAACTTGCCTCATTGTTGCTGTTACCCCTCATTGTTAGGACCACAGCTCACTGTGTAGGCATTGGTATAAGTATTGAGATTTGTCAACACTAAAGCAGGTTCCCCTATGAGGGGAGTCGGTGGTGGCACTTATGTCTAATTTCCCTCCTTGCTTGAAAGCCATTTCCCTCACCTTGAAATTAAACTTCTATTTGATTCCTGACTCCTGTCTCTTGCCTGTTCTTTTTGGCTCCAGCCATTCACAGGTTAGAGTTTGGTTTGGTCCAGCTGGCAACCTATATCTCCCTATCGTAACACTGGTCAGTAAAGAAAGCTAATAATTCATGGAGGTAGTGTATTAGGAAGTTATCATGTTGATTGTTGTAACAGTTCCTGACCACGTCAGTGTGGTAGTTCAGCCCAGGCTCTGGCTGGGTGAGTGGCACGGAGTTATTAATCTCAACACTGGCTTCTTCTACATTCTCATGACCGAAATGAGTCAAGGACAGTTAGCTTTTACTTTGGATGGAAGTCAGTACATTTTCATCATCCTTCCTCAGAGTTATTTGAATTTTCCTTCGTACAGCCACAATCAGTAGATGGAGACCTGAAAGGGGTTCCACCAGATGGCTACAAAGGGCAATGGTATCCACCATTATATTAATGGTATTTATTGGGCCAGATATGGCCACAATTAAAGACATTCTAAATCAAATCATGGCTCATGTGAGACAGAAGCAATGGGAGATTAACCCTGACAAAATGCAGGATTTAGGCCATTTAGTAAAATTTTCAGGAATTAATTGGGTGGAAAGAATCCAGATGACTTTAGTTGCAGTTTGTAATTGATACTTTCTGTACCTATTGACACCTGTTTCCCTCCATAGACTAAAAGGGTAATCCAGAGGTGTTATGGAGAACTCCTTTTCCCCACATGGGTATTTTGATGTAAACTTATTTACTGAGTTACTTGTAAATCTATCTCTTCTGAATGGGAACTGCAATAGGCTATAACCTTGGAAGATCTAAAGTGAGCTCTCTGGTAGTGTTTCCACTTAGACCCATATGAGACCCTGAGGAGTCTATATTCTTATATATTCTATATTCTCTGTTCATAATGACTAAGATGAATGGAGACTTTGGCAGGCATCAGGGGGTGGCCTGCCCAAATGGCCATTAGACTTCCGTATCTAGAAGCTCTTTGCGGTGATCTTTCATAATACTACTTTTGAGAAAGAATCATATGTTTGGGCCCAGGTTGCTGCCAAATGGGTCATGCCAGGTCACACTATTGCCCTTTATCTGTAGTTGTCCATTATAAGTTGAGTAATGGCAATATGGACCCTATAACAAGATGGATTAGGGTACATCCAAAATCATGCTCATCCAACCACCTAAAATGTTAGTGTTCTTTATGAATAAGTTGTGACATTACCAGAGGCTGAGACTTCCAGTCCTAACCCCAATGTTTTACCTCCTCAGCTAGTCAAATGGGCTTCTACCTGTGAGGATATAGCACTTGAACTTTATTTTACTTGGTTTCCTGAAGTTTTTGCCCACTTTGAGAAAGTTATTCACCATTAGACTTGAGCAGCTCTTCATCTAGTAACTGGGAACACCATAAGTAAAGGGGGTCTTCACATATCCTCCCAATGGGAAGAGCTGTGAATTGCATGGCTGGAATATGTAAGATAGCCTTGAAAGATAGAGCAGGCAAGACTTCTATTTATTTTTGATTCTTGGGCATTGATTATGGGTTTGGCTGAGTGATTCAGGACTTAGAGAAAACAGGATTGGTTAATTAAAGACTAATTTGGGGTTCTTTTGCTGATACTTCCTACCACATACAGTTGTTTGTGAGTTATGTGAATGCCAGACAGAGGCATCATACTTCATTGAACTGATTAACTAGTTGATTCTCACAATAACAGAAGACATTAGCAATTGGCTCTATCAATTTAAGGGAGCTTGTGATGCTATGTTGTTGTAGTGAACATGGGACTATATGATCTCCTTAATCAAGGATGATGCAGCCAATTCTGCTCAACCATACTCTTTGTACCAATCCAAGTGTCTACCTTTGAGGAATCATTATGGTATGATCTTACATGGTTCTCCACCTTCTTCTGATTGGCAGATTGAATATATGACCCTTCTTCTTCAAGCAGAGGGCAAGATCACTGTTCAGGATGCAAGACTGAAGTGCCAGTTAAGTTAGTTATTATAGTGGCTACTGTAAAGGCCTTTAGATAAACAGCCCTCCTA